TTTTTGGTGAGACAGGGCCCCACCGTGTTGCCCAGGCCGGTCTCAAATTCCTGGGCTCAAGTGATCCTCCCGCCTCGGCCTCCTAACTTATTGGGATCACAGGCATGAGCCACCACACCTAGCTACTTTTTCTTGATTCTAACTACCTCTGCTCATGCCAATCTTTTTTTTTCTTTTTTTGAGACAGGGTCTTGCTCTGTCACCCAGGCTGGAGTAAAGTGGTGCAATCTTGGCTCACTGCAACCTCCATCTCTCAGGCTCAAGCCATCCTCCCACCTTAGCCTCCCAAGTAGCTAAGACTACAGGCATATGCCACCACACCCAGCTAGGTTTTGTATTTTTAGTAGAGATGGGGTTTTGCCATGTTGCCCAGGCTGGTCTTGAACTCCTGACCTTAAGTGATTTGCCTTCCTTGGCCTCCTAGAGTGCTGGGATTACAGGCGTGAGCCACTGCACCTGTCCCCATGCCAGTCTTAAAACTGGGAATAACCCCTCTTCATTTTACTTCTGCGTTTTCTTTGATTCAGCTGCCTCCTGCATCATTAGAATTTTCACATTTCTTCTTGTTCAGATTTGCAGCTCTTCACTTAGTGCATGTTTGGTGTACGCAAACTGATGGTAGTGATGGTATGTTTTGCATAGTACATACATACTGCTCCTGTGATAAACAAAGCATTCAGCCTTGCTCACTAACTACTAACTCCTGCCTAGTTCCAGGATGTCTCATTGGCCTTGCCTAACAGCCACAGGTTTTTAAATTAAATCCAGTGTATTGGTAGGTAATGTGAAGTCACAGGTTGTGCCCTTTCTCCTGTTTCCAAGACGATTTACTGGGGAGTGCAAATATGGCTGCACAGTAATCTCCTGAAGGGCTTGCTGGGCTCCACCTCCTGTGTTTTTGGTTTAGTAGGTCTAGGGTGGGCCTGAGAATTTGCCTAACAGGTTTCCAGATGCAGCTGCTGGTGGTGGTGGGCTAGGTAATGCTGTTCTTTGGTCATGTTCCCTGTTCTTCAGGTAGGGAAGACATATGAGCTACTCAACTGTGACAAGCACAAGTCTATATTGTTGAAGAATGGACGGGACCCTGGGGAAGTGCGGCCAGACATCGCCCACCAGGTAACTCCAGGGACAGTGCTCACAACCCTTTGAGCCTCTGTTTGGAAGGGTTGGCAGCTGAGTGCTGCCTCTCTTCAGCCTTAACCATGCCGTGGTTTCTGCTTTGCTCAGAGTTTGCTGATGCTGATGGATAGTCCCCTGAACCGAGCTGGCTTGCTACAGGTTTATATCCATACACAGAAGAATGTTCTGATTGAAGTGAATCCCCAGACTCGAATTCCCAGAACCTTTGACCGCTTTTGTGGCCTCATGGGTAAGAAGCCTTAGAACAAAATTCACAATGAACTTGTCTGTAGGGAAGAAGGGAGGAAGAGGAAAAGGGAGAACTAAATGTCGGATTTTTAAGCGAGGAGATGGGAGAACAACATGATTAATACCAGGACAAGGACTCCTATTATTTTTCTGTTTGTGGAAACTCCACTCTCTTGTTCTTGCAGTAGCTTCCTGGCTGAGTGAAAGAGGGAGTCTGAACCTATCACTGTACAGCTAGCCATATGCTTGGCAACTGTTCGTTCCTAACATTTCAGGAGTCCAGTCTGGATATAGAGCCCACAGGGAACTCATCTTACCTATGGGGTTTTCCTTGTTAGATAATGACTGGACAGAGAAAGACGATGGTCTCCATTTACCTCTGAACTCTTTTTCCCCCTTCTAGTTCAACTTTTACACAAGCTCAGTGTTCGAGCAGCTGATGGCCCCCAGAAGCTCTTGAAGGTGAGGTATTGAAACCTACTAGTTGAAGGTTGGTTCTGGGAATGTTTCTGGGGCTGACTTTTCTCTTTTTTACTTTAGGTAATTAAGAATCCAGTATCAGATCACTTTCCAGTTGGATGTATGAAAGTTGGCACTTCTTTTTCCATCCCGGTTGTCAGTGATGTGCGTGAGCTGGTGCCCAGCAGTGATCCTATTGTTTTTGTGGTAGGGGCCTTTGCCCATGGCAAGGTAAGGTCTGGGCTCAACCCTGAGGTTCTTGGTAGAGCTGAACTTAGTATAGAATTCCCAGAGCAGTAGGCGTTTTAACAATGCTTACAATGAGCTAAAGACACATGACAGTTTCACACCCTGCCCCAGTGCACATCCTTTGAGGACTGCTGCCATATTTGTAATAGTCACAGTTAGGACCTTCTTCATCCTTTGTAGGAATTTGATATTAAACAGCACAGCTGAAATACTAGCTCAGCCATAGTTTTCCTGACCTAAAGAAGGGTTGAAACAGCTACTGAGTGAGAGTTGGCTGACAAAACTGTTCTTTTCTTAGGTCAGTGTGGAGTATACAGAGAAGATGGTGTCCATCAGCAACTATCCCCTTTCTGCTGCCCTCACCTGTGCAAAACTTACCACAGCCTTTGAGGAAGTATGGGGGGTCATTTGACAGTAGTAGAACCTGTTCTGAAACCAGAAACTGTTGAGGTCGCATCCTTTGACCCTGGTCTGAGCCGACTGCTGGAAGATGATCTTTTTGCACTGAGACTGTGGAGTTTGGGGAAGCCAAGGCTGTACATTTGCTATTTGTTTATCCTATGAATACTGTTCTTGCAAACCTGGTTGTTTTGGGGTTCCTAAAGTATCTAATGGTGTAAAACTGTTTGTTCCCCTGGGACTTCAGGGACAGATACGAGGTTACAGAGTTTACAGTTTGGTTCCATGCTTTGAAGGCAGGCTTTAGCTCCTAGATTCCTGTGCGCTAAAGGAGAGAACCCTGATAATCAGCCACAGCAAGGGTGGAGAAGAACTGTGAAAGACAGCAGTCAGGAATGCTGGTGGTGAAAAACTGAACAAACAGAAGTGATTTTATCTAATACAGTTCCAAGGTAGAAAAAGTGGAGCAGGCAGGGCCTCGCACCCCTCTCCGCCCCCCCATGGGGGGGGTGGTGGTAGCGGCACATACACAATCATAGTAACTTGGCAGAAGAAAAACAATAGATTCCTGGCTAGATGGGGAGAGATAAGGCAATGTGCATGGGGGAGCCAGAGGGGAGATGTGGACCCCTCTGCTCCTCCCACAAGAGTTTCCCCTTTGGGCCAGGCATGGTGGCTCACGCCTGTAATCCCAGCACTTTGGGAGGCGGAGGCGGGCGGATCACTTGAGGTCAGGAGTTCGAGACCAGCCTGGCCAACGTGGTGAAACCCCGTTTCTACTGAAAATACAAAAATTAGCTGGGCGTGGTGGCACGCCTGTATTCCCAGCTACTTGGGAGGCTGAGGCAGGAAAATCACTTGAACCCGGGAGGTGGAGGTTGCGGTGAGCTGAGATCGCGCCACTGCATTCCAGCGTGGGTGACAGAGCAAGACTCCTTCTTCAAAAAAAAAGCTTCCCCTTTGGCCCCAAATGAAGACTTGGCTGGCAGCAGAGGCACAACTGGAAGCATCGATCTTCCACCTCCCTGGCTTTTCCATTCTCTGTGCTCTGGGGCAAAGGAGTGCTATGAAAAGGGAGATAAGTAGTTTCTGCACCAGTCCTGCATAGGCCACCTGCAAGACAAGACATGTGATTGGAAGGCTGGTTAGTTACTCCCCTACTTCCTGGTCTGTAGCCCTTCCAGATGTTTCCTAGCATGCCTCAGTAAGTCACAGCAGTCATTGCCCATACTGTGTCCCTTAGTAGCCAGGCTAATCCTTGGAATTCACCCCAGATTTCTAATACTATTTTTTTTCCCCAGTCTGTTGCTCTATTCTGTAACCTGGTGGTGGTTTTAGCTTAGCTGTATTCACTTACCAGGGAGATGGATCATTCCATCTTCTTTAACTTCTCTTTCCTTGGCACCATTGCTTTGTGAACATAAGGCAATATGAATAGTAGGCTCAAGAAGAAGACGTGGCCAAGGAAATAGATGGATTTATATACCTGTGGAGAGAGAGGCCACTGAGGTAGACAGGCATGGAGCATCCCTCGCCGCCCGAGGTTGCAGTGAGTCCCTCCCAGTCTCATAAGCAGGCCTTCACTTGCCTTAAGCCATTTATCCCACGTGAAGAGGCAGAAGGCAGTCATGGAGTAACCCATGAAGAGCCAGTGGATGGTCTGTTGCACCAAATAGTAGAAGGGCTGGAGGGCAGTAATGGCGGCCAGGTTGCTCAGGGTGGGGCTCTGTTGAATGAGCCTGGCAGCCTGGGGAGGGAGGAGGAGCTCATCAGCATCTTGTCCCTCATATGCCCCTTCACCCCCACCCTGGAGGCCTACCTGTCTTTCCACAATAACAATGAGGAATTCCATCTGGAAGCAGACCAGGTATCCTGAGTGCAGGCCATGCCAGAGGGCCAGGAATAGCAACGAGAGACCCTGAGAGAGTTCTTTATTTCCAAGGAACTTGAGTCGTTTGAAGAAGTAGCTGGAGAAAAGGGTGGGTGGGGCGACCCTCAAACTGACTGGTCCTTGCATCCCGCCACCTGCCTCTGGGTCCTCACCCTGAGGATTGGAGTGGAGTGCTGGTGGGCTCCCACGAGTAGCCCCCAGAGGGTACAGGAGGCAGTGCTGACTGATTAATTTGAGATGGAAAGCAGACCCAAGGCGGAGCTGGAGACCGTGTGTGCACGAGTCACTTGGTTCAGCAGCAGTGACTGAGTGCTGATGCCGAGATCAGTGGTGAACCAGACACTCAAGCTGCCCACACTCTAGTGGTGGGGACAAACAAGTAAAGCTGTTTATAAACAGGGCAGTGGAGGACATAAGTCCATTGGCAGAGCTGGAGTAACACCCAGGTCTCAACGCACTTTTGTATCTTGCCTTTTTTTCAAATGACAGGAATGGTTTTTTGGGGGGGGTATAGGTGGGGATCAAAGTCTGTGTGAGTGACAGGGGGTTCTGCCCAGGTGGGAAAGACGCATAAGGGTGAACATGGTACACCCCTGCCCTCCAATCTGGGAAGACAGTGGAAGGAAGGAACCAGGGTCCAGGCTCCCCACCAGCAGCTCACCGGGCCACCCAGGCGTTGGTGTTGATGTTGAATGAGGCAATGGTGCCAGTGAAGCGGGGGTTTGTTTCAAAGAGCCACACCTTCATGTTGGCACAGGCATCCCACTTTGCCTTGCCCTTTTCTTCAAAGCCATTGAAGCCCAGGCCCGTCAAAATGCATACTCCTTCCTGAGAGGGAATAGCTCAGTTAGGGCTCTTGCCACCCCCCACACTGGCCTCCATGGCTCGTCTAAACAGGACCCGGTTTCAACTTTTCTACTTACTGTGACCAGCCAACAGGTGACGTATTTGTACAGGACAAACTTGCCCCAGATCAGCATGTACATGCAGCGGAACCAGAAGGGGTGGTTCTTGAGAGAAGAAAGCACAGTGCATTAGGGATATGGCATGACTAGGCAGTTTCTCTTAGCACTCTTCCTTTTCACACTTGTGGCTGGCTACTTCATACCTGCCTAAGGCCTGCTGCCAGATGTCCCCAATAGTCTGGCCTGATTGCCTTCACAACAGGCAGAGAGGAAGAAGCAGAGGGCCTGGAGAATATTCATTCACCTTTCCCTTGGAGAGCCCCAAGGGCAGCATTGTGTTTAACTCCTGTTTGCCTTCGTTGGCAAAGTTTTTGGAATGAGCATTTGGAATGTTAAGTACGGAGGGGCCCATATTGGATTTAAATTTAAGGAGAGAAACCTGCCCAGAATTACTGAACTGTTTTCAAGTTTTTCAGTTGGGCAGGAGCAAAAGCCAGCACTTCCCGCTTCCCTTGGTTTCTGAATTCCCTAGAAGCGCCCAAATGTATCAGTCAAGAGAAGAAAATAGGCTGGAGAATCAGAAGCTGCTGTGCTCTGAGGGGTCACGTGGATGTGATAAGGCAAGCTAGGAGTGGCTCCTAGAGAAGGCAAGGGGTGCTAAATGTGCAGCTGGCACAGCCCTGTGCCCACAAAGGTCGTTCAGTGGTGGCCAGTGAACGTGTCCCGGCCTGGCTGGCACTGACACCAACTCACAGATCTAGAGCATTTGTAGGTGATATTTCCTACTTCTCTACTATCTATAGGGATCCTTGCCTGTCCATTTTCTAGCTCTGGTGCGGTCATGCTGCTGCTGCTTTAGTAGACACTCACGTCATAGTCTTCAGTGAGGAGATAGTCTTCTGTGATGTGGGGGCTGAGCAGTGTGTAGCCCACTAGGTAGAAAAGGCCCAGACTCAGGCGCTTGAGAGCAGGAATGGTGCTGGAAAGGAACGAGTGAAGTTCCTGGTCATAGAGAGCACAGACTATTCCCTTCACACTCTGACCTTCAGTTATGGAGAGGAGTTTTTAGGGGTGTGGTTGTCTACCTGGAATGGGATGAGAAGCTCTGCTACCCAGTGTTTCCTGTTTCAGGGAAAGATTTCTATGGCCGGCTATGAGGAATGGGGACTGCAAACCTCTAAGAGTTGTGGGAAGGTCAGGGCAGCAGACAGTGGACCAGTCTTGTGTTTACCCCTCAGGGATGCTACTGATCTCAAGGTCTTGCCAGGTTTCACAGTCTCCATTGGGACTGAAAACCCAGTGGAGGTAAGACAATAAAAATAACCACTTTGAATCTGCTCCTTCATTTCTTGGTTGAATTGATGCTGAAACACAGGATGGACAAGTTCTCAGTGAAGGAATTCTTTTGGCAATAAAACTTTTTTTTTTTTTTTACCTTTTTAATTTTTATTTTCTAGAGACAGGGTCTTGCTCTGCCACTTAGGCTAGAGTACAGAGGCATAGTCATTGCTCACTGTGGCTTTGAACTCCTGGGCTCAAGTGATCCTCCTGTCTTGGCCACCTGAGTAGCTAGGACTATAGGCATGTACCACCTTGCCTGGATAATTTTTTTTTGGTAGAGATGGGGTCTCACTATGTTGCCCAGGCTGGGCTTGAACTCCTGGCCTCCAGTGATCCTCCTGTTTTGGCCTCCCAGAGCGTTGGGATTACAGGCATGAGCCACTGTGCCCTCCTACATTTCCTACTGATAAATAAGTATTTTTGAGACAGGATTTGGCTATGTCACCCAGAATGGAGTGCAGTGGTGTGATCAAAGCTCACTGCAGCCTTGACCCACCTCCCCTGGGCTCAAGCAATCCTCCCACTTCGGCCTCCTACGTAGCTGAGACTACAGACACATGCTACTATGCCTGCTAATTTTTGTATTTTTTTGTAGAGACAGAGTCTATGTTGCCAGGCTGGTCTAGAACTCCTGGGCTCAAGCGATCCTCCCACCTCAGCCTCTCAAAGTGCTGGGATTACAGAGGTGAAACCACTGTGCCCAGCCTCTAACCTACCTACCTACCTACCTACCTATCAATCATAAATATATTTCATATATATGTGAAAATAGCTTTAAAGGCAGAAATGTGACTGGTTCAGACAAAATCCTGTGGCATAAATGTGGATTTTTATGTTTGTACCAGTGTCAGAATGGATAGCTGGAAGAACCCTAAACTAAAAAGGGCCCACTCCTGGCACAGAGTATCCATTACAACAGTCCAGGGCCTGCATGACACAGGTCTCTACGCCAGGGTCATGCTGGAGAATGCAGCTTTCAGAAGAGTCACTTCAGAGTGAGTGCAATACCTACATGAACATCTGGACCAAGAGGGGCGATTACCTGTTTGGTATCTTTCCTGGTATGTCAGTCAGCTCTCCCTGCACCAGCTTCATGTAGTGATTCATTGAGAATTGGGGCCCTACCAAGAAGGCCCCATAGAAGTAGGAGAAACCAGCAACTTCCAGCAGGGAAGGAACACCCCGTATGGCATATTTCTGTTGCTCAGAGGACAAGGAATTCTATGCCAAGAAGAGAATGCATGGTTCAGGATAGCCTTGAATCTCCCCACAAGAGCCAGTTTGAGTGTTCCCCACCCGTGTGCCCCACTGACTGGGGTTCTTCAAATAGCCTTCTCTTTGGGGGATGACAAATAGTTGCTTCTTGTGGAAATGCGTATGTGTGTGCATAGCTGGCTGTTGCTGCTGCAGCAAATGCCTTGCTGGCATTGATCTCTGGACTTTGTGCAAGAGCTGGATCCTGGGCAAATTAGGTTTGTTGATCCTTGCTCAGTGCTATCTGAAAGGGAGATTGCACAGGCTGGGGAAATGAGGGAGAGGCTCTGCTCTGGAATTTGGGTTCAGTCTTTGTTAACAACCTTTTTCTTCCCTTTCATTAAGTCTTGAACCTCTCTGCTGATGAACGGGTACTTACCTGATCTTTCCCTCCGTCAAAGTAGTCAACAGCCAAACCTGAGCAGAGAGAGAACGGGTGGGTAGGGTGATGGGAGAGGACACTGAGGATGTGGCCTGTAGACTGAGTGCAGCCAGGAGTGTACGGCGGAGGGGTGCCGAGGAAGTTTTTAGCGAGATGGGGGAGGTACCTACATGTAAGGAAGGCAGGCAGTAACCATCACTCACCAATCAGCTTCAAAGTCAGAACACAATGTGGCATTGTCCACTTGATATCGTAGTTGCCGGTGGCTGTGTAATAATATCCAGCCAGAAGGTAGGCCTAGGAGAGGCAGAAGTATGTATTCCAGCATCACTACTATTTCTTCTCCCTGCTCTGAAATTCAATGTTCTCTTTCCTTTTTCCTTTCTCCTCATCCCATCATTAAAAGCCTTAATAAATTCCTACAAATGGAGGTGCTGAAAACCTATAACAGGAAGAGTGTTGCTCAAGGCTTCTTGGCAAAATGAGGGCTAACCTGAGATGAGAATTTAGATGCTGGGACCACAGGTGCATGCCACCTCACCTGGCTAAGTTTTAATTATTTTTGTTTCACCATGTTGCCCAGGCTGGAGGGCTAATTTTTTTTTTTTTTTTTTTTTTGAGACGGAG